TGTTTATATCTTTTGATCTATATGTGTATGTTTATATTTTTAGATCTATCACAAGATGAAACATACCCTTTAATCTTGGTTTAATTGTGGCTTATAGGTCCTTTATGGTGGTTTAATGGTTGTCTTTAAGTTACCATTAATTCACCATTAAGCGCCTTTAAGTAACATTTACACCACCATTAAGTTACCATTAAGCCATCTCAAGTCCTTAATGGGTGCTTAAATGTAGCCTAATGGTAGCTTAATGGTGGCTTAATGGTGGCTTACAGGTCCTTAATGTTAACTTTTAGACCACCATTTAGTCACCATTAAGCTACCATTAAGCTAGACTTACAGGTGCTTAATATCCAAACTCCATTAAGCTACCATTAAGCTACCATTAAGTCACCGTTAAGCCAGCATTACGCAGTCGATATTATTTTTTAATGGGTGAAAAATTATTATTAAAGTGATTCGTCATCATAAATTATAAATGTTAAGTTCACACATATCTTGAATTGGTAAAAATAAGGAAAAGTACGAAATTCAAAATAAAAAGAAAAAAGACACTACACACGGGGCGCGAACTCATGACCCTTTGAGTAGATCGCAGTCACCTTAACCATTGTGCTAATGCTGATCTTGATAAATAAAAAAATATTATAGATATATTTTGCACAAAGTTTGTTTTGGACTTGAATTTATTTATTTTGTTGAACGTCTCCAAAGTCTTGAATTGATTTATTAATCAAACTATAAACATTTTTATTTATGGATCTTTTTTAAAGGCTTATATCACATTAATATTTCTAAACCGTTGAGTTCGGCTTTTCAATTGCAATGAATTCTTCGCTCTGTTTTTCGAAGATTTATACGTGTAAGCATTGAATCATGATTGAAATTAAATTAATTATAGATAAAACACAAAAAAATCTATCATCGGGAAAGACAGATGAATTTTTTTAAATAATAAAATATTCTGCGGATATTAACGGTTTTTGTGTCTAAGATTTAGGCCTAGTGACAATCCTCATTTTCGAGTTACCTGCATGGTTATGTTTACAAAAACTATTTTTCGAATATCATATTCAGTTAAAATCCTTTTTGTACTATTATGGGTATCAAAATAATCGTCATTTTACAATGAATCATAATGTGTTATATGCTTGCGTTAAATTTAAATTTTGCAAAAATAATTGATCATCAAAATCTGTAAGTGTACGTTGTGTATGTATAGTTTCCTGTTAGTTGACCGGGAACGGTGGACACCTAATTAAGGTCTATTGTTTAACCAGTCGGTACTCTACACTGTTAATCTTATCCCGTTTCCCAATGTGTATAAATCTGGTCGGATGTCATGTTTAATCTGATCGGCTGTTCCTCTGAAAATCGATTTTGAAATAACAATGATTGAAGACTGACTAGATTTTGACAGATACTTTCCGCTGCATTATATAAGAAAAAATAACGAATTAATTCAAATTATTCATGATGTAAAAGTCAAACTTTGAAAACTAAACTTTTTTTTATACATGTGCCCCCCCTCCTTCCAAAAAAAGACAGATTTTTTTTTTCTCATGAAAACATGACTTTATCTTTTTTGGAATTATGTAGCGGAATATGTTGTTTTAACACATGAAATAAAAATACCACCTCTTTAAAAAAAGAAAAAAAAGTATTATAAATTTTGTGTTTAGGGATAAAGATAATTTTAAGAAGAAATTGATTTTCGGTAGTGAGAAACCCCCTAGAATATATTTCATAGGGGGTTGGCCCCGGCGTGTAAAAATATAATTATTTATTTGTCAAAACCAAAAATCATATACACATTACACAGATAATAAAAACAACGTATGTTATGATTATTTATTTTAAAAAAAATCATATGCTGTAATAGGATAAAACTTATTTTTTTATTGTAACTGTAAGTGATTTAAAAAAAAATATTAGAAACCGGGAGCAAGCCCTTGTTAGCTAACTTTATTCTCAGTGCCCGAGATTTTGCATGTTGACAAAAATGTTATATAAAAATGACAATGGAGACAAATTCATAAATCAGAAAAAATAGATGTTGCGTAAATGACATTGATTGATTGATTGCTTAATGTTTTACGCCGAATCGGCAATATTTCAGCCATATCGGCGATCAAAAATTTAAATGACATTAAAATAACTTAAAAAGTTAGATCAAAGATTCGATATAAAATGCGTAAAACGTAACATTTTAATGATGTTTGACCATTTAAACCACCATTAAGCTCGGCTTAAAGGTTGCTTAATGGTAGCTTAATGAAGTTTGGACATTAAGCACCTGTAAGTTGCAGCTTAATGGTGACTTAATGGTGGCTTAATGGAGTTAACTTCTTTAAGCACCATTAAGTCACCATTAAGCTACCATTAAACGATTGTTTAAAGGTGGTCTTTCGTCTTGTGTATATGTGTTTGTTTATATCTTTAGATCTATATGTGTATATTTATATTTTAAATCTTTATATGTATATTTATGTCCTTAGGTCTTTGTATGTATGTTTATAGCGTTAGATCTATGTGTGTATGTTTATATCTTTAGATCTATATGTGTATGTTTATAACTTTAGATCTATATGTTTATGTTTATATCTTTAGATCTATATGTGTATGTTTATATCTTTAGATCTATGTGTGTATGTTTATATCTTTAGATCTATATGTGTATGTTTATATCTTTAGATCTATATGTGTATGTTTATGTCTTTAGATCTATATGTGTATTTTTATATCTTTAGATCTATATGTGTATGTTTATATCTTTAGATCTATATGTGTATGTTTATATCTTTAGATCTATATGTTTATGTTTATATCTTAAGATCTATATGTGTATGCTTATATCTTTAGATCTATATGTGTATGTTCATATCTTTAGTTCTATATGTGTATGTCTATATCTTTAGATCTATATATGTATGTTTATATCTCTAGATTTATATGTGTATGTTTATACCTTTAGATCTATATGTGTATGTTTATATCTTTAGATCTATATGTTTATGTTTATATCTTTAGATCTGTATGTGTATGCTTATATCTTTAGATCTATATGTGTATGTTTATATCTTTAGATCTATATGTGTATGTTTATATCTTTAGATCTATGTGTGTATGTTTATATCTTTAGATTTATATGTGTATGTTTATATCTTTAGTTCTATATGTGTATGTCTATATCTTTAGATCTATATATGTATGTTTATATCTTTATATCTATATGTGTATGTTTATATCTTTAGATCTATATGTGTATGTTTATATCTTTAGATCTATATGTGTATGTTTATATCTTTACATCTATATGTGTATGTTTATATCTTTAGATCTATATGTGTATGTTTATACCTTTAGATCTATATGTGTATGTTTATATCTTTAGATCTATATGTGTATGTTTATATCTTTAGATCTATGTGTGTATGTTTATATCTTTAGATCTATATGTGTATGTTTATATCTTTAGATCTATATGTGTATGTTTATATCTTTAGATCTATATGTGAATGTTTATATCTTTAGATCTATATGTGTATGCTTATTTCCTCAGATCTATATGTGTATGTTTATATCTTTAGATCTATATGTGTATGTTTATATCTTTAGATCTATATGTGTATGTTTATATCTTTAGATCTATATGTGTATGTTTATATCTTTAGATCTATATGTGTATGTTTATATCTTTAGATCTATATGTGAATGTTTATATCTTTAGATCTATATGTGTATGCTTATTTCCTCAGATCTATATGTGTATGTTTATATCTTTAGATCTATATGTGTATGTTTATATCTTTAGATCTATATGTGTATGTTTATATCTTTAGATCTATATGTGTATGTTTATATCTTTAGATCTATATGTGTATGTTTATATCTTTAGATCTTTGTGTGCATGTTTATACCTTTGGATCTATATGTGTATGTTTATATCTTTAGATCTATATGTTTATGTTTATATCTTTAGATCTATACGTGTATGTTTATATCTTTAGATCTATATGTGTATGTTTATATCTTTAGATCTATATGTGTATGTTTATATCTTTAGATCTATATGTGAATGTTTATATCTTTAGATCTATATGTGTATGTTTATTTCCTTAGATCTATATGTGTATGTTTATATCTTTACATCTATATGTGTATGTTTATATCTTTAGATCTATATGTGTATGTTTATATCTTTAGATCTTTGTGTGCATGTTTATACCTTTGGATCTATATGTGTATGTTTATATCTTTAGATCTATATGTTTATGTTTATATCTTTAGATCTATACGCGTATGTTTATATCTTTAGATCTATATGTGTATGTTTATATCTTTAGATCTATATGTGTATGTTTATATCTTTAGATCTATATGTGAATGTTTATATCTTTAGATCTATATGTGTATGTTTATATCTTTAGATCTTTGTGTGCATGTTTATACCTTTGGATCTATATGTGTATGTTTATATCTTTAGGTCTATATGTTTATGTTTATATCTTTAGATCTATACGTGTATGTTTATATCTTTAGATCTATATGTGTATGTTTGTATCTTTAGATCTATATGTGTATGTTTGTATCTTTAGATCTGTATGTGTATGTTTGTATCTTTAGATCAATGTATGTGCTTATATCTTTAGATCTATATGTTTATGTTTATATCTTTAGATCTATATGTGTATGTTTATATCTTTAGATCTATATGTGTATGTTTATATCTTTAGATCTATGTGTGTATGTTTATATCTTTAGATCTATATGTGTATGTTTATATCTTTAGATCTATATGTGTATGTTTATATCTTTAGTTCTATATGTGTATGTTTATACCTTTAGATCTATATGTGTATGTTTATACTTTTAGACCTGTATGTGTATGTTTATATCTTTAGATCTATATGTGTATGTTTATGTCTTTAGATCTATGTGTGTATGTTTATATCTTTAGATCTATATGTGTATGCTTATTTCCTCAGATCTATATGCAGCTGTGTATGTCTTTCTCCACGGCTTGGGGTAATGGTGGTTCTAGAAAGTATTTTATTAGAAAGAAATCTACGACTGGGCGCGGGATTTCACCGGGTAAATATCATCTGAAAGCATTTCTGTCCTCTTTTCTTCTCTATCTCCCTTCCCTTCATTTATAAAAATCAAGCAAAATTTCGCTTTTCCAATTTTAAATTTGACATATTATTTCAACACAATGTGTTTTCCTGTCAGTAAAGCTATGTTAACTATTCAAATGCCATAAAATTCTACTATAATAAGCAGATCCAAATTTTACTTTACTTATAATAGAACAGAAAACAGTCTTATATTTAGAGAGTTTATGTATATATATTGAAACAGAAAAAAATATTCAAAAGAGACAAATTAAAAAAAATATTTCAAATTTCAAATTCGAATAACTGTTGTTTATAATAACATAATAAGACAGTCTTATATTCGGAGCCTTCAAAAAAGTATTATTATAGAAAAAATAGTTTTAAAAAAATGAAAAAAATAATATTTCTAATAAAACATAAGATGTGTTTCGAAGTAAGCTGTCTTCAGTAGAAATTTTGAAATAACATTTGATACAGAGTATCAGTAGAATGTTAATTAAGCAGTGTTCTACACACATTTTCTTGTTGATGTTAATTAGATCTTTTGTGGATCAACACACATTTGTGTTGATATAAATTAGATATTCCCCCTTTTCTTTTGTGGATCAACACATATTTGTGTTCATATAAATGATATCCTTCCCTTTTATTTCCCATATCAACAATAGGCTGTGGATATTAATCAATCTCCAGTCTTTCATCTTTCAGTTTTTAATTCAGTCTTAGAGTCAAATCAAATACTAACAACACCTTAAAACGTGGAAACAAATTGATTTAGTTTTTCCTTCTGTACCAATGATAAGGATAGAAATAGAAACAAAACCAAGGGCACTTAACATAAACAAAAATTTATCTGATGCCTGATTTTGATTTGAAATAACATAAGAATTAAATCCTAGAAATATTAAGAAATCGTACGTTTTCTTTGGTGCCTAGATAAATAGACTTTGCTGTTTTTATATAATTCCAGACAAATTCCAACACATATTTTTTGATTTAGTCACAGAATTTTATAAAATTATCCCACTATACTAAATAAACATTATTCAGGTTACCAATATAAATTTTAATCTATGAGAAATATTGATGATTTCTGAAATTAAAAAAAATGACTGTTTGTGTTACATGTCTTTATCCTTAAATAGAAGCAAGGCGTTAAAACTTGGAAACAAACTCATTTAATATTTATTTGTATTTCAATGATGAGCATATTTTACAGTAAATGAGGACCAACTTCCAGAAGAAGTGAGAGCTGTGAAATCTTTGGAGTAAGAATACATAATGTACGCATGCTATGTTTTCAGTTAGTGGAATGCTATTTAATCAACAAAATATCATAAGTTACGTTTTATTTAATTTCATATTGTCATTCATCACGTACTGCCAATCTGAATGCACTTTACAACTTATATCATTTACTTATTACCAATCAGAATTCATTTTACTACTTATATCATTCATTTATTGCCAAACAGAATGTACTTTACATCTTATATCATTATTTATCACTTATAGCCAATCAGAATGCACTTTACAACATTATATCATGATTTATCACTTATAGCCAATCAGAATGGACTTTACAACCTATATCATTATTTATCATTTATAACCAATCAGAATTCACTTTACCTGTTATATAAATTCACAGGAAGAGGGGATACTACTACATGGATAAAGACGGGCAGCTCTTTTACGTGAGTGGCCAGTGGGTTGGATAGACAAGGAACAGATACATGTACAAATGCTTATGGAAATTAAGCTTTGATGTAGTTGTATGTCTGTTACTACATTTATAAAATTAAATTTCTCAAGCTTAACAATTGAGTTTTTTTTTAAATTCATATGTTATGATTCAAAATTCCACACAGAAATGACATTAATTTATTTTTTATTGCTTCATTCGTAAAAGAAAATACGATATTAATTATTATGATTAAATATATTATCTTTTAGTACAAGTATAGTAGACGGATATGGAAATAAGGAACAGTATTTAATATCAAAGTCCAAAACAAAATATAAAATAGGAACTGAGCAAACACAACCTCCGAAACATGAGAGGTGGGTTCAGGTGCCATGGAGGAGTGATCATCCCCTGCTCACCGGTCACACCCGATGTGTGCTCCTGGTCATGATGGGAAAATAAGGGAAAAATGTTTTTTCACGATAGTTCCTTATTATCTTATATAAAGGCAAACATTTGCAAATGTATACATTTAAATTATAATTGCCTCACCCAAACAAGAAAATACGATAGAAAACTATTATGATTAAGTTTCTTACTGTATTTTTACTGTTACTAAATTGTCCATAATAAACATCAATGGTGTTCAAATCAGACATATTAAATCTGATGAAAGTTCTTGGATGAAGATTTATGGTAGAACAAAACATCAAAGTTACTAAGTATCCAATACAGATGACTACAATTAATAATAACTGACTTATCAATTACTATTATACATATTATATTTGCATTTGCAAATGTATTCCTTTATATAACAATACTGAAAGCAATGCGTAATTACAACTGTATACATACAGGTACGGGGTCAAGAGGTCATAGATGTGCGTATGGATAAACGTCCGACGTAATTTCACAGTGACGTCATAAAGCGTCGACGCGCGTTCAGTGGATTACATACATGCCATTGGGTTTGTAAAATAATGCATTTCACACGTTAAAAGTCACAATCAGGCAAATGAAAAGTATGAATAAGTCACAAATCTAACTATAAGTAATAAGGTATCATTTTAAAACATCTATCGGGCTATAAATACGGGTTGTACGAGATTAATTTCATCATAAAGTCCCTCGACTGATACCTTATTTCTTAATTAAAATCGGGTAAACTTGAGTTAAATGATGGCACATTTTCAATCAGGTATATTCACACAAACGTTGTCTCATGCTAAATATCAATTGATACATACTTATAATCCAAATTAAAACTAATGTCTTGGAATTATACATATTTCATCACTAGTATGTCATATTTCCAATCAATATAAAGCTAATTTATCGGAATTATACATATTTTATCAGTAGTATGTAATCTCTCCTTACAATATATACCTCCATATATATGTGCGATTGGGGGAACGTACATTATATCTAAGTAATTAAATCCATCTTAGTGTGGACTATAATATTGAAAACAGCATTTAGTCATAAAGAACAAAATAATATGTATACCGACACATGTCACTCTTAGACTAGTAGATAATTTATAAAAAGTATAAAAGCATATGGCTATAATGCTGAGCGTCTTTGATATCAAAGTACCTGGGGTGATTACAAAATGGTGCAGTATCAGTGTATCAAGAAGTATTTGTTTGATTGCAGAAACTGAAGTTCCAGGTTAATCTCTGTGGTTTTATTCGAGTATTTGGCATTCTATTTTCTATTTTCACTTTCACAATGCTGTTTGTTTGATCATAAGAAAGGTTCATTCATAATCGTACCAAATATTGCAGCCTGTTTAATACTATAATTGTATGCTGTCTGAAATTAAATATGGATCAATAAAGTATATGAAGATAACGAACAGTATTTAATATATTTAATATCAAAGTCTACAAAACAATACAAAATAGGAACAGAGCAAATACAAACTTCCGAAACATCAGAAGTGGGATCAAGTGCCATGGAGAAGTGTATGTACCTTCCAAAGCAGAACGTCAAGATTTTCAAGGAAAAAAATCAGACGCGACGTCATAATTCTAGCAGGCTAAGCGTCATCTAAAATTCCAGACGTACATTCTGCAATTTTCAAAAGGTTAGGGGACGCAGCACTGTTAAGGCTTGAAAAAGGGGGCGGGGCCTAATTTATACGGGAAATGTTTACTGTGACGTCACACAAAACTTGGTACATTTTGTATTCCTCATAATACTAGAAAATCAAATACTCTGCAATATTAAACAATATTAGCATAATAAACAATACGAAAACTTATCAATGCATTAAAAATAGTTGCCAGTCAAATCCCAGACAACATTTTATAAACAAATTCTTGATCGCAGCAAACTTGTCAACATGACGTCATTTTGGTAAAAATGACGTATTTAATGTGCTGAGAAAGGCAGATCAAGTATAATTTTACAGTGAATAACGCATTTTATTAATAAACAGAATATTATTTACAGATTTTAGATAGGCTATTAATACAAATGTAAAACCTTTGTTTAGTGCGATTATTCATTGATTAGCGAGAGAATATATTTAATTAATTTTACCGTGTTTATGTGTGCAGGTCTGGCATGTTTAACATCGAGGTGGCTTATTAAATCGCCTTTTTGCAAGGGCATATACTTAATAGATGGTAGCCAAATTTTGAATATAAATACAGTATATGTTCCTTAACTTGAAACGTTCTGCTGCTTTCTTGAAATCGACACTTTGACTTAATAGGGTCATAAAATACTTTGTAAAGGTCAAACATATTTCGACATGAGCATATTTACCTGGAATTTTAAGTAATAAAATGCAAATTCTATATAAAGCAGCAGCACTTTCTAGAAAGTACAGAGTATGCAAAAACAACTGGTATCTTAAATTTTTAATATCAACTAGAGTATGCCCTTGCGATATTGACATTTGTTTATGACCTTCATGCAGTACATTTAATTTGCATTTTTCACGTGACTGTCCATAAATGGGTCCAAACTTAATTCAGTACAGAGTTGGGTATACTATATTATTTCAATAAGTATTTAAGTTATGTAATAATTAAACGGCTTTATATCAATAAACCCAGTTTTAAAAAGTTCCCTTTTTAGCACGTGCATATTCCATTGATTTCTTTATAGTAGACCTTAACAGTGCTGCGGATGGGTAGGTCCACGCTCAATTCAAATGAAACACAAATCGGAAGCTTTTTGACAAGCAATATGATGTACCCAAGTTTGAATAACTTATGCTGAAGCGGTGTTGAAAATGGCAACGGACTGCTTAATTTCTAAAACATGAATCTCTTAACTGACCAACCGAAGAACAAGTACTGCATTGGCCAAAAAAATGCCGCGTTTAAGATCTGCTCCGTTGAAAACATTTTAAAAAGTATGAGATTTTAAAATTTAAAAAATCAAATGTATGCATTGAGAAACAACAGTACCTTCCATAGCAGGAAGAAAAATACAGATGTGGCGTACTAAATTTACAGTGCTAAGCGTCAACTGAAATTCCAGACGTACATGTACACTGCAATATTTGTTAATGTAAAGAAGTTTCTGTATTCCTAAATATTGTATGTTATTTTTTTTTAATTTTTTATTTTAATTTATCATGTAATCTTCCACCCGGTGGTATCTTAAATAGCTTTTATCGATAAAAACGGATGCCCAAAAGAATAACGGATAATAGATAGTGAATTGTATTTTCCCTGTTAGCTGGGGCTACGTATAGCAGCAGTTCTGTTGCTGTGGTTATGGTTCTGAAGCACAAAAACAATATGAGCCATTATACAGGGTGCTTCAACAAACAATTCCCGATTTTTTTGTCTATATTTTTTCACAATAATGAAAAAAAATAATTACAGTATTTTAAAGCCAATTTTCTTGCACTATAATTATGATATAAACAAAAGTCATGACATATTTTTTCCATTTGAGATTTTATTACAGTTCAAAAATAGGTTTTGAGTTTTTTTGTTCTTCAGAAATGGATCACTGATCTGTATAAACTAAACAATACAAGCAGAAAATGTCCAAAATCATCAATATTAGTTGATAAAATTTTTGAAAAAGTCCTCATATGAAAATTATCTTTCTACGAAACAGACTTTTCATCAAATACATTAAAAACCTTAGAGACAAAACGCGGATGCTGACTGAAAATAGAGTGACTTTTTAGAACACATAAACTGACGTTAAATTGAAAAGTGCTGCTTACGTTTAATCTTTTAAAATACATGTCATAAATATTTGATTCAGAATACTGCCTAACTTTATATTGCAATCACAAAGTCGGGACATGTTTGTTCAAACACCCTGTATAAGATATATCTGTTAAATAAAATGAAAAAGAAATCTCTGCATTAGATCTAAGGAGGATTGATTGATTGTATACTGTTTAATGTCCCTCTCTAGAATATTTTACTGATAGCAGACGTCACCATTGCCGGTGAAGGGCTGCAAATTTAGGCTTATGCTCGGCACTTACGGCCCTTCAGCAGGGAGGAATCTTTATCGTGCCACACCTGCTGTGACACGGGGCCTCGGTTTATACGGTCTCATCCGAAGGACCGCCCCATTTAGTCATCTTTTACGACAAGCAAGGGGGTATTGAGGACCTATTCTAACCCGGATCCCTACGGGGCTCTAAGGAGGAGAGATAGATAGATAAAGATAGTTTTAGCTTTATCGTTAACGTTACAGGACAGCTTCACAACGCCGCTTTCTTAGCTCACCTGAGCCGAAGGCTCAAGTGAGCTTTTCTGATCAAAATTTGTCCGTTGTCTGTCGTTGTCGTTGTTGTCGTTGGCGTTGTCGTCGTCGTAAAATTTTCACATTTTCATCTTCTCAAGAACCATTGGGCCAATTTCAACCAAACTTGGTACAAGGTATCCTTGGGTGAAGGGGATTCAAGTTTGCTCAAATGAAGGGCCAGGCCCTTTTCCAAGGGGAGATAATTATGAATTAGAAAATTAGAGGCATTTTTAAAAAAAATCTTCTTCTCAAGAACCACTGGGCAAGGAAAGATGAAACTCATGTGG